TCTATGAGTACATGAAGACTGGCCTGGGAATATCCAAGTGAACCCACCCCCCCCCTCCCCCCCCAAGATGGGGTATTTTCAGTAGTTTTCCGTTCAAGTTTTTCCAGAGATGCAAAAAGCTCAGGACAGTTGTATTAAAACGGTTTTTTCAGATGATTCTGTGTTTCTCACAGAATGGTTCTCAGATTATATATTATATATTGTTCTTTTAAGCTATTCCATTAAGCCTTATTGCATTTTGATGCATGTTTTCTTTTAGTTTGTTGACACTATAAACCATATCACGCCTGCCTCTGAATGTAGTCGATGTGTGCAACATATGAAAGATATAATTGGTATATGAACGAATGACAGAGCTTTGGCAGGTAGGTGATGTCCAAAGATTTACTGTGTGGGCACTTTATATTGTGTTCTGAAGCTGAGGCTGACATTTTGTGCCTTAACATTTGTCTGTTTTTTTATTTGCCCCCTTTTTTATTTTGCACCTTCTCCAAGGTTTTGTTGTATAGACACAACCCTGTTTACAGTCTTTTCAATACAATATTCTTTTGATACCTTTGTGTGACTCATGCTAATTTTCATATTCTGAATACTTTACATAGGCTAATGCGCTCGGGATGGCCTCGGTCCAGTGCTGGGCCAGATCATTTGGTGGGACCCATTTCTACATGTGATTATTCAAATGATGAGTAAGTCGAGCAGCAGTAGGGAAAGGGGAAAATGAGCTGCCCCTTCTGTAACATGAGTGATGCACCACCTACACCACTGTCACTACAGGACCGCTGAGTGTCAGCAGAGGATCAAATTCCCCCCCTGAAACTTGTTTAGCAGGGATATAAAGGGCTAGAAAGATCCCATATTAGAGGTACCATCCCACTGAATGTGTGAGGAGGCAGCTGGCTGTGACACATAATGCTGAGGCCTGTGAATCAGCATTACTTCAGTTTGTGTCTGTTGTTGTTGTTGTTGTTGTTGTTGTTATTATTATTATTTGAAACAATTATCACGGCCCATAATTTAAATGCATCTTCAAACTAACATTTTTAACAAGGGAAACCTTGTACAGGAATCCTAGCATGAGGTGAGAGAAAGAGGAACCAAAGACTTTCTAAGAGGCAGGAAGGAAACAGTGGTTGCGCATAAAAATCATTCAGTTGGTTCATGCTTGTTGTGTAGGAGAAGGGTTATTGGTTGGCTGGAAACAACGGTTAGAGGTGACTCACTGCTAGATCTGCTTTCAACATATGCAGCTGCCATCTGCTGGTAAATTTATTTTAAGACAAAATACAACCAGTATTTTCAAAGCAATATCTGAAACATTTGTTATCATGCAAGAATGTTACAACAAATAATTTTTGTCATCCATTGGTTCAAGTTTTACCTATATGAGGTAACAGGCGTTTAGGTGATTTCTAAAGGCACAAAACATTTGGGTTGTTTGAAACGGATTCAGTTTAAAATCCAAGATCAGAGGACATAGCAATGGAGTTTATGAAGCTACTTGATTTGCTCCCTTTAAACTTCGTCTAAACTATAATCTGAAGCTAAGATAATGAGAAATTGCCCCTACATTTTTAAATAATATACTTCTTAAACAAATGGTAACCAGCTAAACAAAATATAGAGGTATTTTCCTCAAAAGTAGGGCAATTCCATACAAAGGTCAACATTACCATGGAAAAATAAAGTTGTGTGCCCAGGAAGAGAACTATTGTTAAAATGTTCACCTATTTCTTTGTCTGATTTCATTGTTTTTTTCTTTTTAAAGACAGTTGCAGAACCCATTGGCATTGTATTTGTAACATGAAAGAGACTTGAATGAGCACACGAAGCTTGAAAAAATGTAAAAATTATTAACGGAGATTTTCGAGTCGCACCTCCTGCATCCCGAGGGAGTGAGGGGACGTTGAGCCGGAATGGGTGACGTTTCTGGACTCCATTGCAGAAGCAGAGCTGTGGCTGTAGGGCTCTTGGTGACAATCGCGGTGTCAATCCCTGAACCCGCTGGTGGAGCCTTTCTGAGGTTGGTTAACTTGGGACTTCTGAAGCAGCTCACAGGTACCAGCAGGCCAAGCAGAATGCAGCCGTGGCAGTTACTAAAGCAAAAACTGGGGTGTGGGAGGAGTTTGGTGAGGCCATGAAAAAGGGCCTTTGGTCAGCCTCAAAGATTCTGGCAAACTCTCAGGCGATTCAGGAGGGGGAGGCTTTTCCCATGCTGTTTACAGCAGGAATGGAGAACTGTTGACCTCAAATGGGGATATAGACAGGTGGTGGAAGGAGTGGGACCTTCTAGAGGACTGTGGTCACTGAAGTAGTCAAGAAACTCTTTGGTGTTAAGGCTGGGGGTGGATGAGATTCGCCCTGAGTTCCTAAAAGCTGATGGTCAAACCTTGGGTCCAGTAGTAACACTGAAGATTCCGTCGTGGTTGTGGAAGGCTGGAGCAGCTCTTCACCCTTACAAGGATACGTACTGGAGGGTTCATGGGAGTTTGCCCAACCGATTTACATATGTTTTGTGGACTTGTTAAAAGCTTTCGATCATGTCCATCGGGGTCCTGTAGGGGGTGATTCAGGAGTATGGGGTACAGGGTCTGCTGTTGTTGGCCATCAAGTCCCTGTATAAATGAAGTGAGAGTTTAGTGCGCATCACCAGTAGTAATTCAGACTCGTTCCTGGAGGGTGTTGGACTCCAAGGCTTTCTTTTGTCGCTGATTCTGTTCATGACAATTATGGACAGAACTTCTAGGTGTAGCCAAGGGGAAGAGGGGGTCCAGTTCAGTGACCTGAGGATTGTGTCTTTGCTTTTTGCAGATGATATGGTCCTGTTCCCATCACTGGGTTGTGACCTTCAGCATGTCAATGGGACAGTGTGAAGTGGCCAGGATGAGGATCAGCACTTCCAAGTCTGAGGCCATGGTTCTTGACCAGAAAAGGTGGCAGATGAGTTACTGCCTCAAGCAGAGGTGTTTACGTATCTCATGGTCTTGTTCATGAGTGAAGGAAGAAGGGAGCAGGAGAACAACAAGCAGATCGGTGCAGCGTCGGCAGTAATGCATGCGATGTGATGATATCTCTGGGCTGACCTGGAAACACCGTGGTATTGCCCCGGTGGAGCTGGAGGAGGTGTCTGATGAGAGGGAGGTCTGGGTATCCCTGCTTAGACTGCTGCTCCTGCAGCCTAACCCTGGAAAAGCGACAGAAAATGAACAGATGGATGGACAGTCTATATTCAGTCCAAAAGTTTACATGGAAAGATATGCAAATTGATTAATTGATACTAAGCTTCTCCATGCTTTTAGGCATTTTTATTTGCCAATATAAATCTTAATGTCCCATCCATAATGCTAGAATTGGCCAGTATATAACCCTTTAAATTTCAAGTTCTTGATGAGATCATGTTATCTTCAGTAACCGGGTCATGAGACATTGCTGGTGTATTTTTCTGGCACTTAAATTGCCACAGAAAGAATGCCATTCACTCCCATTATATTCGAGAGAAGCCAACATTTCTATGGCCGATATCTCCAATACTATGCAACTCTCAGTAGAACAACCTAGATCAGGGGTCTCCAACTCCAGTCCTGGAGAGCTACTATCCAGCAGATTTTCTGTTGTACCTGGTTTCTGATTGACCACACCTGTTCCTGGTATTTACCTGAGAACAGGTGTGGCTCATCAGAAGCCTGGTAGGATAGAAAACCTCCTGGACAGCAGCTCTCCAGGACCGGAGTTGGAGACCTTTGACCTAAATGTATAGATCGCACCAAAGCTAAACAGATCTTTTTTTTTTGTTTTGGGGTGAACTGCCCCTTTAACATAAGTTTACAATGCAGCTTCACGGTATGTCTGTGCTAGCACATTGATTACATAGCTACTCCAATATTGACAGTTGCAGGCTAATGCAGCATATGTGGGTGAGACAACAACACAATTCAGTTGTCTAGCAACGGTAAACAGTTAAAGATAGCTGACCTTGTGTACTCCTGCTGAGATGTGAGATGTAAATGTCACGACGTGATAACTTGTTGATGATGTGTAGAGTCATCGGTAGATGGGAATGATGAAGGACGGGGGAGGGGATTAAGTGATGCGATCCGGTGGAGGAAGCTCACTCATTGACCAGATTACCCTGACTGCCAAGTTTACTACAAGTTTAATGACATATTTTTTACAGTCAAAGTAGGCACGTTATTGGCTGACTGAATAATTTATATGCTACATTTTAATAAAACATTGGGTAGGCAGGTGCCTCCTTAAACTAACTGGCGCAGTGCCACTGTATACCAGAACTGCATTTCTGACAGTTTGATTAGTCAGATAGGTCTACACTAGAATAAAAATGCAGATAGAATTATAGTTTTTTTTTATGTCTGAAATGCTCTGTTTGACAATTGATTTGAAATGACTTTGCAGGTATTGGTTAAGCCCTTTTTGAAGTAAGTAACATTGAACTTGAGTTGGTTACGTTTTTATTTCTTGCAATATCCAATGTGACATTTTACCCACAGACTGGGGAAATGTAAGTGCAAGTGCACACTAGCTATTTGAGTGTATATCTCTGTCCTGAAGTAAAATATGAAAATGTAATGAGCACAAGCATATGCTTGAGACTTTTCATTAGGTATAAATTTATATCAAAATGATGTATTGATCCCAAGATATATAAAAAAAAAAGTGACAAGACGCCCCAGTCTCCCACACCACAGGGTAAAAATTTTTAAAGAGTAAACCTTGGAAGCAAAACTATGGCAATTAAATTTGCTCCCATCAGAAATGGGATTTCATGGTGCATCTGTCAAAAACACTGAATTAAAACCCATGAGGACTATAGGAGACTGACACTGTTTACCAAATTCTACAAAAAGGTCAGCAATAATGGAACAAAAATTTTAAATAATTTCTGTTCACGTTTCCCAGCTGGGTCACGTAGAGTTGGCTCACTTTCCGCTGCATTAATTCTGGTTGGACATGCACCAGTAAAGAAAACACACAGACATTTCTCATGAGAAGGGTTCCATAGATTTATTTGTTATACAACACACACATTGTCAGGTTAAGCAGCCAATGTGGCTTTCGCTGGCATCTTGAACCTCACTCCAACCACTATGTACATATCTTACATTACAACTACCACCAAACACCGGTATTTCTCCCCAAACTTTTGATTATACACAATGTGGCGTGTACTTAGGTCGTTCAGTACATACAATTATAAATGTGATGTTTTCATTTAGCCTTTCCCCACTTTATTGCTTCCTAATTAAAAGCCCAATTTAATATGAAACAGTCTTGTACTGACTGTTCAAATACGCTGTAAAGGAAACATTGTACACAAGACATTATAGTTCAAACTTTTGGTTGCTGGAAGAGGATACGGTCAAATAGTTGTTTATTCATGTCCGCTACTATATAGCTGTTCAATAAGGGGCAAGTTGCACGGTTTGTCTTTTTCTGTACTCAAGCTTAATCCATTACACACCCAGAAGAAGCGGGACAGACATTAATATATTACAGCATTTCCATATAAATTCCATCCTTCACCTAGCATTTAACAAACACACCTTAGATAGAACCAAAGCAGGAAACATGGAGCAAAGAAAGCTGAAATATATGCACTTATACTGTCCGATGTAGGAATCGCAGACACACCAGAGCACTAGATGGGGAAGAAAAAAAGCAAGAAAGCAAGAAGACTAATGCAACAGAAATCAGACAGGAGGCAGTTAAAATGCACAAACTCCACCAGCAAAGGCGGGCGTCTGTCAGTATACTGCCAAAGTTTGTAACTACGTTTTGGAAAAAATATATATGGAGAACACAAAATATATAAATCATGAGTTATAAGAATCCTTACAATTTATATGATTTACCCATGTTTGGTCCATTTACAAAGGCAGCTAAATAATTTACAAATGAAAAGAATTCTTGTAATAAAAGTACACTGGACCAAAAATGGGTACATTACTTTGTCTTTATTAAGCCAATTTCCAAAAACACTATCAGCAGCAGGACTTTAATGACAGCGGGTGGTGGCTCAATTCAGAGTTACACTTGGGCTTTGTGGGAGAAATTCACAAACTTTGGCAGTACTGTTGATCCCTGTGGAACAAGCTTAGTTGTCATTGCACCCCCTGGGCACAAAGCTTTAGTTACACACCTGATCTGTCAGCAGTGTTTCACTACTATTGCACTGACGGTCCATAGCCTTAGAGTAAATAAGTTTCAATGTAAGGCGAAGCAGGCTGCAACATTCAACGGACAGTTTGTATTGCACATGCTTGTCTAAGCGAGCAGTCATAGCACTAAATAGCATTTTCTTCTTTCGGATCCAAGCAGATCAAATTGTTTGGTAACAATTTCATTTACATATGCTAAAGGAAACCAAACATACTTAGTAGCTTATCAACAGTCTACCACCTAAATTGTACACCTACTTCTTATTATTCCAGAAAGAATAAAATCTAAGAGGAGAGCCTTTAGCAATAAGTTACTATAAATAGATTTTCTATGGCAGCATAATTGGGTGAACAGAAGAAAACTTGTTTCGATTGGTAGACGTTTCAAGTATGGCTTCTCCATTCAAGCTGTACAAGCACTGGGTGCCTGGAGAACAGCGATGGCAGATGACACAAACAGGCTTGGTAGGATGACAAAACACGAACTCGTGGACTTCACGTCATGACTGGATTGGACCAGAGTCCCCACAGAATTCTCAGAATGACAGTTGTTTATCAGAGCAGTGTTCATAATAGGTGATGATCAAGAGGTGTTGTTTCAGAACATAAAGAAACAACATTTGGAAGCAGCAGAAGATGGTGATGTTGATGCTGCCTCAGAACATGAGCGTCTGGAGCTGGTGTGATCTGTCATTTATCTTGGCATCTCCCCCTGCTGTCTTCTGGGAGCAGGTTTTCATGAAACCCCAGTCAGGCAGGGGCTTCCAGGACCTCCTTGGGATTTCACCTGTAGAGACACAGACCAGGAAAACAACAAAGTGAGCTTGGCATGCAGCCAGATGTGCTTCAACATGGAGGGCGACTCCAGCCTCAGAACATCTGAAGTAGCTCTGAGCAGATCTTCTCTGGTTTTCACACGTGAAACATGCAAACCTGGAAATATTAGGATTGTTTTTTTAGTTTCATCATAGAAAAAAATACCCTGTTAAATTATGTGAGAAGGAAATATGCTGTTAATTGCTCTCAATTAGCATAAGAGCAATGATTATACGCTGAAATAATGCTTCGATTGTTCCTCAAACCTAATAACCTCTGAAGATATTTGTCACTATGACCAGATTTCAAATCTATGGAAGAGACCACGGTTCACAGATCTGTCTGCGATCCCTTAAAACTCCTCATTTTCCTCTCCTGAGGTCTGCCTCATACTAGGTCTGATGGGATGAAGATGGCATCTCTCAGGAGAGCCGGAATGCCTCCGCTGGAGCGTGAGAAGATGGGTGAGGTGATGAGTTAGTGATTTTGCACAGGCACAGGCAGAGCAAGCCACAGAAGCAGTACTTTACCAGGGTGGGGGGAGGAAGAGGAGGAGCTTAGGGTAGATATCTTGTACTCGTTCTTCTGGACATAGTCAAGGATTGGGAGAGAGTTGGGCAGGGACAGTATTGAGGCAGGGGACAGAGAGAACAGGAAACAGAAAGTGACTCCTGACATGACATGTAACCCAATCAAGCTGGACTACGGCCCCCTTTTTTCACACCAATTCCATTCAGACCAGCATTTCTGCAAGCATGTTTCTGGCTAGAATGTTTCTCTAATATTGGGTTTTGAGTCGTTTTTTCGTTACTTACTGAGGAACCACCATATATATATTCCATTAATAATTTCAATACATGTGCATCACTTTTTTTAATTTATATGTTGCTTTGCACCAATAGATTAAATCAAATTGCCACTGGTCTATTGATTCTGTATGAAGAGCCCGGAAATGAGTCTATTTTATGTGAGTTACTATTTTTTTTGCAGGTCTTTGCAAAACTGTATCTTGAAAAATCACTAGGCATCTAAAACACAATGGTGTAAGCTCACCTCAAGATTCGTCCGTGCTTTTTTCAAGACGTCACGTGTTCTAGATACTGTGAGGCAAAAAAAAAACACATGAGGGGGTAAACAAGCACCAAAGAGCACAAGTACAAACGAACTTCCTTTCTTACAAATTTTGACAATTTATGGTAATGTATCATCAGGGGCCTCCAGCAGGGATCTTACTAGGACATATATCAGCAGTATCATTGACACTGGCCCATAACCACTGAGCTACCCGCTGGACTTCATTCAATCTCCACAAAGAGGTTTGTATCCATAGGTTCCTGTCTTGATTCATTGCACAAATAAAGTAGAAAAATCACACTTTAGGACTAAATAAGTAAGAGAAGGCCACCAGCTAGTGTAGCATGCAGGGGCGCTGCTAAGGGTTTTGGGCCCCATGAAAAGAATCTTGACAGGGCCCCCAACACAGCTGAGACTTTTTTATTGGGGGCTTCTCTGGGCCCCCTCTCAGTCATGGGCCCCGAGAATCGTCATCGTTTACCCCCCCTTTACAGCGCCCCTGGTAGCATGGGTTGGGTCTCAAAGGTATCACCACTGTGTGGAGGTGAATCCAAAGAGAGGTCCTCACGCTGGTTGACGATGAAGTGTTCCATGCTCTCCTTAGTGCGATTGGTGCTCCTCAGCCTCTCGATAGTGTCCTGCAGCAACCCCTCCTGCTCGGTGATCCTCACCCTCAGCCTATGGATCTCCTCCTTCATTGACTGCTCCTGGGAGTCACAACTGAATTCTTAATTACTGCATTTATTCACTCATGAGTCACGTATTCACTCTTTCCTGCGGCTGTTAAAATAAAAGATTTTGCTAAGACATAATGCTACGAAGGTATTCAAGATGGAGAGTGGCACCTCCAGGTTCTGAATCCTGACTAATCTTGAGCAGTTGTCTGCATAATTGAAGTATAGTAAGAGAGCTGACCTTTCTAATGTGCTGGAAGGTGTTTTCCGTCCTAGGGAGCGCGGCCCTCCAGAACATTTTCAGGAGAGACGTGGCTTCCTCTAGGATCTGATCCAACGTTTTGGCACTGGCCAGGAGGGTCTTCACAAAGCCATGGTCCAAGGCCTGGACACCGTCAGACACAGATAGGGATTTAGGTGAGAGAACCTGGGAATAGCAGCTTCCTGGTGGACACAGTTTGAAGATCCTTACCTTTCCAGAAGTGACCTCCAGAAGGCTGGATGTGAGAGATGAGTGCAGCTTGGCCTCCATCTTGTGCACCAGCATCTTACCCTCCAGGATCTGCTGTTGGAGGGCATTGAAGTCGTCCACGTGTCCTATGGTGTGTCGCCCATTCTTGTTGGCAAATGAGCCATCTGGAGCGTCTCCTTCCAGCTCTGAGTGTGGCCTCAAGATATCTGTGGAAAAGACAATTGTCCAGTGTAAGGAAGACCATGAATATACCACAGACATCTGGAGACATCCGATGATCTAATGCTAAGTAATACAATTTGTAATGTGCAATTCTACATTAAAAATACAACCCTTGTAACTGTGAAATAACCCATACCATTAGACAAGCTATCCAAATCTTCTGGGTCTGGGGATTTAGATGACAAGGAGTATGTGGAACCAGAGTTTAACAACCCTGGGTCTCGCACAGGTGGAGATGGTGCAGGATCTGTCGAGACAGACGTTAAATTTTGCTAGTTTTTTGCATACTTAAACACAAAGCAACTTTGTTCATGAGTACAGGACCAAGATCCCTTCAAGATTAAAGCCATGAAGATTCTGGCTTTAAAATCCATATTGGTCCTCCGTGACCATGTCCAGAATAACTGGAAAATAGATGAATGGTTTACATACAAGTCCTGGTGGCAGGGGGGCCCTATGAAAGCCCCCAACCCAGACCATATTATGTTCCAAATTTTTTAGGGCCCCTGCCACTCAGGGGGCCTTGAAATCGTTCTAATCCCCCCACCCCCATGCCTGCCTTGTGGTATCCTACCACGGAAGAGCTGTCTCCTGCAGGTGTTGTCTGATTGGCCACTAGCAGTGATAGTGGGCAGCTGTAGATCACCGGGGGCTGTTGTTGTGCAGGTCTGCTCCTCCAATTGCATCCTCAGCGAGTTGTTTTCCTGCAGGCTGCGCTCTAGACGCATGCGCAGACTGCGCAGCTCTGCCAGGAGCCCTCCCAGCTCCACAGGGGAAGTCTCCCTGAAGCTCTGGCCCTCAGAGGCAGAGCCTGCTGGAAAATACATGAATGTATATTGCACGATTCGCCCCATTTCCATTCATGGTTCAAGGGTTTGGTCTTTCCCTGGCGTAGTTCTTGCACTCACCAGTGGGGGAACCCTTGGCAGTCATGCAGATCCCCTCGTATAGCCGCAGCTCACATTGCAGGGATCGCATGAGCTGCTGGCTGTCGGCCAGCTGTTGCTGAAGCAGGCTGACTTTGTGCTTTAGCCTGAGAATGCAGGGCATACCCATTAGTAAATGACTCACAAGCTCTCTGCCAGCTCGCCTAGCAAAATGCTAAACTGTTGATTATCATTAGCATTAGCTTTTGTGGTTATGTTCAGTTATTATGATCCAACAAATGCAAACTTTGAGTATTTCAACAAGTTAACTCAAAATTAAACAACATGACTCAAAAGCAAATAGTGCTTGCCAATAGATTTATTTTTAGATGTGTGTTTTTTCTTTTCTGCCACAATATGAGCAAAATGAAAGAAGAATGGATATGTGACCAGGTCAATTATGAATCTGACATCAATTCTAACACTGAGAGATCAGACTCTAGAAAATATTCCTACTGCAACCTCAGGAAAGTTATAAATTGTTTTGTACAACTACAAGAATTACGTCACAGTCATAGGCTGATCTAAGAGGCTTGGGGATACCTGCTGATAGACTCCTGGCTGCCCTGCCATTCCTGTCGTAGCCGCTGGACCTCCGGAGCCTGTTCGCAGATGAGGGCCTGGAGACGGCTGTTCTCCTCCTGCTGCCGCTCCACCTCCAGCTCCACTTGCTTGAGCCGCGCCCGTCCAGCCAGGAGGGCTTCACGAAGCAGCTCTGCCTCCTTAAAGGTGTCTGGGGTGGGGGGTAGGGGGGGAACAGACACAGACAGACACAATTTAGGCTTCCAGCAACGTGCCTCTTCTTGGTTTTTGGTTTTCATGTAGCTGCGGATAATGTCTGTCAGCGTGTGTTAGTGTCAAAAATTTGCATCAAGTGTGTTCTTCCATGGACTGGAGAATTCAGGTGCATTACTATGCCCCAAAAGAAGATCATAAACAGAATTGGACTAAGACAAATATCAGTCAATGCAAGTTCCACATTATACCAACATCTTTCCCCTATTTACAGAATTGGCATTTTGTTGGAAACTCATGTAACTGACTGGTACCTCTGTTGGCTTGTTTGAGATGAAGGTTCTCTTCCATTAAGGCCTGGTTCTCTTTCGACAGTGTGCTGAGGGAGTCCAGGCCCTGGATGTAGATGTTCGTTGGTGCTCCTGCAATAGAACAATGTAGTGAGTGAAAGAGGCACCAGCTGGGAGGGACTGCTGTGGCATGAAGGGAAACCCATCGCTTCTTACCACCATCTCGACCCACAGAAGCCAGCCTCTCCTCCAACTGATGCCTCAGGCGGTCGTTGGTCCGGATGGAGTCTTCCAGACGCTGCCGCAGGCTGCGGATCTCCCTCAGGTGCTCCTCCATGAGGTCAGTGCCTACAGCGCCGAGAGAAGCTATGGCCCATGGTGAACTCGTATTTACCCCAAACAGATTCAAGACAGATTTAAGGCTGGAGTGGTGATATTTACCTGTGTGACTGGTGCCAGACTGGTACCCCGACGAGCCCGACAAAATGTCGCCGTAAGCAGAGGCTCTGATTGGCTGGCCGATGCGGCTCATCTCCCACAATGCACCACGATCCATCAAACCTGGCTCCGCCTTCAGACGGGTGCCGGTGTCATTGCTGCTGAGTGAAGGCTGGTGAAAAGCGTGATGGGGAAGGTAGCTGGAGGGATTCCGCTGAGGCTGGTCAACCAGGGAGTAGGCGGGCAGCGGCTTAACATGTGGAAGCGTAAAGCCTGCGTGAAGTGAAAACAAACAGGGCGAAACGGTGACACCCTGCTCATCTGAGTATAAAGTAGCATTTTCGATCCTCAGTCAGGTGAACGGGTGCAAAACAGCACATTAAACCATCAAGCAAATCATGTCATAGCTGAATTTCAGCACAAACCCTGTGATTAGGAGCGAGAGAGAGAGAGAGGTAGAGAATGAAAGGTTGGAACATGCTTGGGGAAAAGCATGCAAAGGTGAGTCCTAAGCTGGGGGGGGGGGGGGGGGGGGGGGGTAGGGATCCACACTGCACAGTTATTTTGTTCCAATCGGCTGCAAGGCCTCTGAGTCCCGTACGCAGCCATTGGGAAACTAGTTTATTCTGCATCCAATCAGGCCCGATTATTCTGACATTAATTTTGGTGAAATTTGAAATGTATTAGACTGCCACATCATAATGTCTTTGCCATCTCTCAATATTTACTACTACTGAATTTTCAATAATGTGTAACTGACTGCCAATACAGCTTAACAGAGAATGTAGATCAGCTTTAGAGGGAGTTAAGTAGTCTGTTGTATGGGTAGCTGGAAAGCTGTCTTGTTGCTCAGTAAGCTGCGAGCACGACAATCTGGAAGCCAGTATGATGTGGGCTTTTCTCACACACTCACGCACACGCACACAACGCAGAGAGGCGCGCTCACGGTCTGCTAGCTGCATCTGCAGCGTCTGCAGCTCCCGATGCACCTCTGCCAAGGAGATGGACCCAGCCCCAGGGCAGCCGAGCCCCGGTAGCTGAGATGGGGGGTCAGAGAGCAGAGGCTCCCTCTGACCCGGAGGGGCTGGGTAGTGTTGAGATTGAGGGATAGGATGGGAACTGGGCATAAAACCAGGAAAGAGGCCTGGGGGGGGGGGGGGGGTCAAGAAATGAAGATGTCACAGCAACTTCAGCACCCAGACCCAAAGTTTGCACCACAGATATCTTAGCAGCAGATGCTAACGCTAATGTTTGGTGGATATTACATATGTGACAAACGGAATACGAAATCTGCACCACATTTGCGTTTTGAAAGCCTGACCCAATATACCTGTATGCCCCCCTATACTATGGATTCATGCTCTAAGATCCATGTAATTTAGTCATACCTTGTTGAGACAGACTGTCCACGGGACTGGACACCGTGCACAATATGCTAGGACAGCTGGAGGGTGATTGAGGTCTGCGTGATGCTGGGGAGGAGCATGGCACAGGTGAGAGGTGAGGTGAAGTGCTACCTCGACAGAAAGCATCTGAAAGAAAATGTCGCTGGATGAAGATGTGCAATGCTGGTGCGGATGGAATGAAGTCCTTCGGGCCTACTCTGGTCTACAGATCAGGGAAAAGTGAACCAGCCACCATCCCTACCAGTTGGTCAACATTATTGTTGAAATCCACCACCTGCATACCTTAGGCAGGTAATTCAGGGCGTGACCAGAAGAGTCAGTTGTGTAGGTGAGGAGGAGTAAGTGGAAGGCAACAAAAATGTGGTTTGGTCCTTAAGTGGTGGATAAGAACCGGTAAGGGGAGTACTGTACTGATTGGAATGAAAATATAAATGAGACTCAGCAAAGATAACCACTTCGGGGTTACTCTCATAATGTCAGGTAAGAAAGTGATTAAACCAGTGTTTCCCGCCCCGGTCTTCGGGGACCCCCAGACAGTCCACATTTACGCTCCCTCCCAGCTCCCTACAGGACAGTTCATGTTTTTGCTCCCTCACAGCTCCCTGCCAGACAGTCCACATTTTCGCTCCCTCCCAGCACCCTACAGGACAGTCCATGTTTTTGCTCCCTCACAGCTCCCTGCCAGACAGTCCACATTTTTGCTCCCTCCCAGCTCCCTACAGGACAGTCCATGTTTTTGCAGCAGAAACATGAACTGTCTGGGCGTCCCCAAGGACCGAGGCGGGAAACACTGGATTAAAACTTTCCAAATGGCTTTAATAAAAATGATTACATGTATTTAGCAGTAGCGACTGCTACAGTTCATGCCGTACCAGTGTGTTGTGGGCTCAGTCTCCCCTCCTGGTCCTCCTGGTTGTACTCGCTGGCCGCGTCCACCTCCGAGCCCAGCTCCAGGTCACCGTGGGTGGAGCCATGCTCATCGGAAATGAAGGACGTTCTGTCCGACTGGTTGGTTGTCTCTGAGAGGGCGTGGCTGCTGGAAGGGGTGTCTGGCCGCTGCTGCTTGAGTTTAGAGCGCAGAGATTCGATGATCTTATCCTTCTGCTGGAGCTCCTTGCTCAGCCTGAACGGAAGTCAGTACAAGGGTTGACGTGACGGGTTAGATCGAGACAATCAGAGAGCTTCATGGACCAAACTCAAGGTGAAAGAAAAAGTTTTTTCAGACAGACAGACCCTCAATAGTGAGACAGGTAAATCACGCCTGTTAATCAACTAGAAACAATCAGCAAGAGCAGGTATGACCAGAGAACCAGAACTCTCATTGGGACCATTTACAATCTGTCAAAAATATGATTTAGTTAGATTATGGAGATATTTCGTTGTATCGGTCAGGAAACAAGCCATCTCAACAAAGTAATTCATTATGCACTGTGCTCAGGGACGTTATCTACTGTAACTTAATGGACGTGCCGATCCCCAGGCGAGCAAAGCTGCCTGTGACTGCTCAGCCTCTGACCCCCACCTTGATGGCCAATTCAAAACACAAACAAAAAGACACACAGTCCTATTCTAAGAGTTTCATGCAATTTCGATCAGTTTTGATCATGATTATCTTGTAAATCAGGGGTGAGCAACCCTGGTCTCAGAGTGCCGGTATCCAGCAGGTTTTGCATCCTACCTGGTCTCTGACGAGCCACTCCTGATCTCAGGCAGATAGTACCTCATCAGGTAGGATGGAAAACCTGCTGGATACTGGGACTGCAGGATCAGGGTTGCCTAGCCCTGGTGTAAACAGTGTACTTCAACCAAACCTTAATAAATTTACTTTAATAAATGATTACAACATATAGATGATTTACCACATATAAATGTTCTGGTATCAAACCCTAACCCAACATCAATGACAGACCTAGACATCCCTAGCTCTTATTATATAACCATATTCTATATTCAGCCAAAAAACCAGCATCTCTTGTCTGTAATCTGATTCTGGCTCTTTTCCTGCGAGCACATGCACCTGTTCACCTCTCTACCACTCTTACTTGTCCATCTGCCTCTGCAGGCCCTTCTTCTCCTTCTCGAACTGCTTCCTGAGGAATGCCAGCTCACACTCCTTCACCCGGCACTCCCACAGCGAGAAGGAGAACAGCGACTCGCGGTAGAGCGGGCTGCTCCTGGACAGCATGGACTTCCACAGAGGGGCCATGGCCCGGTGATAAGCCCGGTCCTCAGTGAGTCCTACCAGGGTGCCGGGTTGACCATCTGGGCCGACGGGACCCGGGGTCCAGTCCAAAAAACCGGCTGCCTCCAAAGAAGGCGGAGCCCACACGTTTCCAACGTCTTAGACTGTGACTTCAGCCGGTCCAGCCGGAGTGCCGTCCAGTGCCGTCTTCTCAACCAATTTAGCTGTTATTCTGAGTGGTGAACCCAGAAAGAGCAGGCAACAATGAATCCACCCCCACGACGCAAACCTCCAGATAATCTGATTACCTCTTGCTGGGGCTGATCTGTTTAATTCTCATCTGCCACAAGGCTTCGGGAAACATACCGACATTGGCCAGTCCCCATTGAAACTTGACTCAGCCCCCAATTTCCTGTGCAACGCCATGGGAGGGGGGATGCTGGCATTGTAGACCCAGATGATTATCTTGAGTCAGCTAAGCTGTGCCACTCACTGCCTTTACAAACTTGGCTGCATGAAGCCTGTATCCCAGCAGTATTCAGGTGGTTCAAAAGCTTAAACCCAACACTCCATGGAATCGAGGTGCCACACAGCCTCACCTCCCCCGAGGCAAATTTCTCTTAAATAAATGTCCGAGTGCACCAGCAGAGAGACTCGGTTTAGTGTAGAAATGCTGAGAGAGCTTCCCCTTCCTTTGGGGCTGGCTGGTCTTCGGAGAAGCAGTTAGAGGACTCTTCAACATCCTCTGGGGTCGAGAGATCACCGATTGGATTTAATACCATTTGGTCTAGCAAGGACCCCCGAAGGAGCTGATCCAACAGTTGTCTTAGCTGGTCTGTCGGAGGATTTAATGCCATTTGACTGACCAGGGCCGCCCGAAAGAGCTGATCCAGCGATCGTCTTGGCTGGTCCATCAGATGTTTTATTGGCAGGCTGAGGATAACATGCTCTTACAATAAGTTCTTCTCAAAAATGTTAATAAGAAGAAAATATCGAATTACTACATATAATTAACATAATTAAATTTAATTAAAATTAAAATTCAACACAATCTGAAGGCAGTCGGAAACACTGGCATAAGCCACTTTCGCCAGACTTACTCCTCTAACTGCAGGGCCAGTAGTTCCTCCTGACCTATTTAACTGGCCAGTAATCTTTACAGCTTAACCTTGTTATGGACTGTCTCAATGCCTCAAATCAGTCCCGACTGCATCCGTCCGAGACAAGCTCTTTTCTCAGTCAGGGAGAATAAAAAGGTTGTGGATTGTTCACTGGAAGAAGCTCCGGCTCTTACTTAATTGAATGAAAATCCTAGAATTAAATAAAAACTTCAGGTGATCCCAGTTGAGAGGCTGTTCCCAGCCGAAGGGAGGATCCAAGTGTTTCCACGCAGCAAAGGAGCTTCTCGTGCTTTTATTTATCCTGAGCTGTGAGATGTGATCCTGGCTGAGATGAAGCGATCAGTGTGGCTCTCTCTCTCTCTCTCTCTCTCTCTTTCTCTCGCTCCCTTTCTCCTCCCGCTTGGACCCATAACACAGGGGTGGGAGTGGGGGAGGAGGAGATGTCAACCTCGGCTTTGCCTGTCATCACAGTGAGAGCATAGCGCATCCCCCCCCCCCCAGAAGCGACAAAGCGCCAAACGGACTGGCAGAATGCACCTTCTTTGCCTGGGGGGGATGGACATGAAAAGGTGCAGGCAGACCCAGCATTCACGTGCTCCACGCGTACCATCGGGAAGCCAGACACGTGAGGGGACTGCCCCCCCCCCCCTCCTCCCAGGACGCGGTCTGTCACAGCCGCAGACTCCCGGCTGCCAGATTTGGATGACAAAAAATAAAAAGACTGTACGACTGAGAACTCAGTTTCATATAAAGATGATAAAGATGCAAAGAGAAGCATCTGTAGGAATCCAGTGAGAAAACGCAGGAAGTCATACACCATCTCATTACCGCAATCCAAACATATGGCGCTACACTCAAGAGATCGATGGAGGACGGCAGAAGAGAAAACAGTTTAAATGTCTACTAAATCCCCCCTCATCCCAAGGGGAGGCTGCTCTGACCTATTGGGGAATGGGAATTATCCAATCAAATCACTTGTCGCCTGGAACCAGCGGTGACTTTCCACAGTGAGGCCGTGACTCCATGCGCAGGAGCCAGCGGCAATGTCAGAGCGGCGCCATCCAGAGGACAAACATGTCTCTGACTCTTCCTCCATGACTCACTCGCTTTCCAGCGGAGACGACACCACACGTGGAATGAAGATGCATGCCGCAGTAGGCATGTCCCACACAAACACGGGTCCACCTTATACATACAGTACTGTGCAAAAGTCCTCGAGATACAAAGAAAATGTTTATTTGGCCAGAAAGTGTGCACTTGCTTAAAAACCACAATTTTTACTAATTAAGCAAATTAACAGTAACACAATTAAAAACTAACAAGGATCTCTTCTGTTCTTGGAAAAGTTACTGATATCTTGTTGGCTGGCTAGAAGAACACCACTTTGGCTGAGGAACATCTTCTGAACCTCTTCTCAGAGGCACATGAAGTATCAATTAGCCATATGAGGTGTGTTAATGGTCGAGTCAGGAAGTACACAGGTGTATTGAATGGTTACTGTTAATACTTTAGGAGAGGATTTGAAAGGGTCAGGCTAACACACTTTGAGAAACATAATATCATAGTTTTATAACAACAGGAAGATCATGTCAACATCATTTTCTTTGTCTGCCTGAGAATTTTGCACAGTGCTGTAGATTTAGCTGTTTTTTCTGCAGGGGATGGTGGTGATGTGAAACAGAGAGGATAACTGAACCCTAAACCCATCAAGGAGGAAGCTCTAGGAGAAGAAATGGGGGGGTGTGGAAGACGGAGGTTTGAGGAGCACCGACCTCAGAGCAAGCAGCTCGTGGCCCATCTTATCATCTAGAAGTTCTGCAGGGTCTCCTGTCAACAAATCAACAAATTTTAAATTTTCTTTGCTATTTTTGCTAAATGTATGTTAATGTTTGTAACTCTGTCTTGATCTGGATTCATTTCATTCTGATATTTGATATTTAGTTTTTTTCATTTCAGCTGTTCCCTGTTACTCTTCCCCATTTTTTTCCATTTTACTCTGACCTCATCTTTGACCCACAGATTCTACAAAAGTTGAACAAATTGCAGTTGAAACATGTGACTATTGAGGCAATTGTGTAACACGACCTAACAATCTGATCTGTGGCCAGTCCCCTAATCGCCTGCAGCCATCATGTCAAGCCCAAGCAATCAGATTGAGCCGATGACCAAAAATCCACACTGATGTGATGGGTTTGTACCCGACAGACGGGTGAGCCGGCGGGGCGGTGGCGGGGGCACTCACGGCCGCTGATGTTGGCGCTGACCCTCTCGGCCAGCGCGCTGCTCTGCGCCAGCTGCTCGCGGAAGCTCTGCCCCATGTAGTAGTCGATGTCATTGGCGCGCAGCAGCTCCTCGAAGGCCTTTGTGGTGTCGTCCAGGTGCTGGCTCAGGATGCGGCAGACGCCCCGGCTCACCCGCACGCGCTGCCTCAGGTGAGAGAGCTCGCGGGCCTGCGCCTGGATCAGCGTGTCGAACTTCCTGTGAGGTCAGAGGAAGTGGGGGGGCGGGACTTAGCATTAGCCACTGGAGTCATTAGCCAGGAAACATTAACTGCCAGCACTCATACATTTGAAGAGGGGATGCTTACAATATTTAATTAAATATATATATATTTATTACACGGCTCTCTGGAATGCTTGATTCTGATTGGTCAGTTGAGACATTTGCAGGTTCGTTCTTTTCAAATAATAACCGCTCCAAAGTAATAACGAAAGCCGGTACTACTTGTATGTTTAAAATCCCTCCGCGCCAACAAAGATTACCGTTTAAAAATGTTAATTTAAAACAAATATGGCAATAAAATTCATATTCATGTCCAGTTTTTTTCCTTATGTGGCAAGTCGCCGTGTAATAAGCGGGATAATGTACGGGTTGCCACTAGCCTCCGCTTCGCGTCGGGTCCTGATCACACTGTCGGGGCTCATTTCTGCGATAACTACCGGCTGCCTGTACATTATCCCTTACATATAACCTTGGGCCACCAAAATAAAAAAAATCAGCTCTCCACTTTTTGAATGATAATATGCATGATAATGTGATTTAAACAGAGCCACAAAGATCAAAATCGGATTGCATCTAATACACTATATTCCAAACTGTGTCCAATGCACAAATTTACATTTTCAAAGTCATTTGACTTGAAAGTCATAATCGTCCTTTTAGTTGTAAATAATTGCAGACGGGTGATAACTTAATCAGTGTTTTTTTTTTCAAATTAGGATTCATGTCTACTAATGTGCTGCTGGAGTCTTCATGGCTGGGCTATTTAAAGTCCCACCGCAAGGGTCCATTTTTGGCTTTTCGCTTTGGACGGGAGGCACAGCACTCGTCTTGGAAGCCTTCCAGAACCTTGGCGTCCTTCTGCTTGGGGCAGCTCCCAGTACCTGCTCAGGCGCAGGGCTGCGGACTCGTGACCCTACTGGCAAGCTGACTATGGCAGTATTGGAGTGTGTGGTACTGTATGTCAAAGAGGGGGTGTAAGATAAAAATGAAATTAAGCTTTATTTTCCATTTGCACGAGCACGAGTAAAGGTACACTGCTGTGCTTTGTTTCCAATCTTGCTCTCCTTTGAGACACTGACACACATATATGCAGATGAGGATGAAGTCTGAGGTCTAGGTGCAGAGTCAGCCATTTATCCGACACCCCTGGAACATTCTGGGGGGTTAAGGGCCTTGTTTATGGGCCCAATGGAGATGTAACTATTCTGGGGCTTGAACTGGCGACCGTCCGATCACAGACCTAACCTCCTAAGCCATGGCTATTCAAATCACGATCCTCACGGTCCTGTTGATTTTCCAGCCTTCTTTTACCTGTCAGCCAGGTGTGAAGCCTCTGGCCAATGAGAACTGAAAACAAGGCCTGGATTTGGAATCGAGGTCCAGATTTGAAGAGCCCTGCCCTAAGCCACATACTGCCCTCTCAGAGACAAAGTCTTCCACACTCTGCTTGTCACCGGGGCTGTGCCCTCAAGGGTCTGCCAAGTGAAACCTTAGCTGTAGGTAGTTATACCAATGGACTCTGCGGAACATTTCTGTACCATTGATGGTACATTAATGCTGTCTATACCTTTGGGATGTTCCTCAGAGTCCATTTCTGTACCTGCTGAATGACTGGGAAGGCGATGCACTACCTACCCCGGCCAGGCGGCCGCCTTGCCATCTTCAGAAGCCCCCTTACTCCCCGACCTGGTGCTTTTGAGCTGGTCCTCCAAACAGGTCACGCGCAGAGCCAGGTCCCGCAGCTCTCGGTTGGGCCGTGGCCACTTGGTAGCTCCAACCCCGTCCGACTGCCACCCCTCATCGTCCTCGGGGCCACTAGTAGCCGGAGAGGCCTGGAAGCTCCATGCCAGAGAAGCAGCTGACCTCTCCAGGTTAGAGGAGCAGTCGCCGGTGCTGGAGATGCTGCGCAGGCGGCCCTGGAGGCTGCGGATGGTGGCGCGCGAGCGGGAAAGCTGCCCTCGCAGATCCTCCACCTGCTGCCGCAGGGACGTCATATTCTCCGCCTTCCGACAATCCCCGGTCCACCACTGGCCATCGCAGTCTTGCCTGGACAGGGTGGTGCACATCTCCAGATCATCGAACTCTGTGGGTGAGGACGGGAACCACAAAAAGGAAACGAAACTGATCCCACTGGTCAAAGCTACAGCATCTTAACTGTAATATACGCAGCGTGATTGTTAAACAAAGTCCAGTTTGCTGATTCCTGACAGTGGAAGAGCAGGTCTGTATATGACAAATCAAATCCCGATCATGGCCACTGCTAGATGGGGAAGCTCCTGAGAGCTGAGAGTGCAGCCGTGTCTCCTGCAGACCAGTCCAAACATCTCACCTGGGCTGCTGGTGTCCTCCCTCTCCGCCTCGTTCTCACTGCGGCCACAGGTCTCATAGCCCAGGTCCTGCAGGTCCACCTGTACCTGCTTGCTGTCCTGCTTCACTGAGGTTTCCGCTGATTGGGGAAGGGGGGGCGGGGGGGCATGCAGATAACATGAGACTTCACGTCTATTAACTCTCTATACTGCTTCACAAAACCATTCTAAACAGTAGCTGGATTCTAATTTATTTGCAGTAATTATTTCAGCAGATTTTACGGTCCAAAGAAATACACTGAATATGTTGAGATATTTGTTACAATTTACTGAACAAAAAAACACGTATGAAGAGCAAATTTCCAAAACTCATTTTTATGTTTTTGAGATGAGACAACCAGGCTTCCTCATCATATGTTACAGCATCGGGAACCAAAACTCACTCAGTCTGCATGTAAAGCAGTGCATGTGCATGCGTGTGTGTGTGTGTATGTGTGCGTGTGTATGTGAGAGAGAGACTCTGTTTGCCGGTGTGTGTGTGTGCGTGTGTGTGTGAGAGAGACTCTGTTTTCCGGTGTGTGTGTGTGCGTGTGTGTGTGAGAGAGACTCTGTTTGCCGGTGTGTGTGCGTGTGTGTGTGTGAGAGAGACTCTGTTTGCCGGTGTGTGTGTGTGTGTGTGCGTGTGTGTGTGACAGAGGGACTCTGTTTGCCGG